ACTTTTTAAAGGGAAATAAATCAATTTTTCTTTTGAAAAAAAATCATGTGGAATAAATCATCAACAACAAATGTTCTAAATTAACCTTTGCACAGAAAAGACTGACAAATTAATAGCGGAGTTTATGTATGCACTTATGTAAAAAAATATATGTTAAAGCATCATTGTTTTTAATTTGGTGTTGTGCATTTGCCTCCTCGGGCAATTTGCCATATAGAGGTCACTTTACCAGAAGTCCGCAAAGACTAGTTGAGCTCCCGTGGATGCGTCATACCCGCTCTACGGACTGAGAGTAAGATGATTTTGGGAAGAACGAAGATATGTTAGAGTGAAATATAGAAGTAGTCGAGTTAGAAAGATAGCATAGAGTAAGCGGACAGGATTGCACACGATGTTAGAGAGTGCAATACATACTGTTAGTTAAGCTAAGCCTAAGTAAAGTACCCCGACAAAGTAGTGAATGGAGTTCACTTAACATGAACTTTTCCTCAACTTACTTTGTCGTTCATTGTTTTTAATTTGACTAATAGTTATTTACATAATGAAACAATTTTAAGTAAATAGAGTGCTCGGTAATTCTGATAAGATAATTCTTTGTGGGTATATCTGTAAAGTAGAAAGTTGCAGTGGGAAAAATAAAAAGCAATTTGTAGGTAAAAGACTCCTATAAGTTGTTTAAAAAAATAAATCTTTAGGTTTACAGCAACTTTTTATTAAACTTGATCCATTAGACATAATACTAATAATACCGCTGTAAAATGGAGAAGTTTAAAGAAAAAAGCATATGCATAGGCATAAAGTTTCTCTGAGAAAAACCCAATAATTTTTTTTTTCGTTGGTATTAATGTCCTTTCAGAAGTCCTAACGGTCTTATTACGGAACACTACTGAAGAGTATTTAACTAGGAATTTCGAGCCTTTTTCCTTACCAATGTCGCTTATTGGATTATAGCTGGTGCCGAACCCCGCATCTAAGCCAGAATTCTAACCACTGTGTCACAGCTGCCCTAAATATTTAACTTTATAATTGTGAAAATATATAACTTATTAGGAAAGTACTGATGATTTTAAAATGCATAATAGGAGGGAAAATTAAATTAATTTAAAAAAACTAAGGTCTCTTACATGTATCACAAATACAATTTAATCTCGGATAGCAGTATTTCAAAGAAATATATATATATATATATATATATATATATATATATATATATATATATATATATATATATATATATATATATATATATATATATATATATATATATATATATATATATATATATATAGTAAAAACACTTATCTATTTTTTTATTTTCTTCTACAAGCCTTTTCTTTTTAATAAATCTGGTAATTCAAGCGATCGCATAACATTGGGAGACTATTTCGGATATTTTTCAAATTTCAAACTTTTTAAACTTATATTTCACTAACGTTGCGTCGTCTCCTATAAATAGTGAGATGAGTTATCGTCCTTCTCCTTGCAATGTACATGTGTCTGTTGAATTTGCTATAATAAGATATGCAAACCGTTCCAGTATTATAAACATTAAAAACAAATCCAAATTATACCCTCAAAATTTTAAATTTTATCAAATTACTCCCGATGATGCAACAAAAATTATTTGTTCTTTAAATAGTAAAAAGAAGACTAGTGAAGATATTCCAACATTTATGTTAAAAACTCGTGTCACGGATTTGAGAGAAAGCCTCACTTCTTGTAAAAATAATTGCACATCCCAAGGCGATTTTCTATCCTTCTTAAAAACGGCTGATGTCATACCATGTTTTAAAAAAATGACTCTACTGATAAGTGTAACTTCCGCCCAATAAGTATTCTGCCAGTTCTCTCAAAAGAGTTTGAAATCGTTATTTACAAACAAATACGGGTTTTTATAGAGCCAAGCTTTAACAACTTGCTGTGTGGATTTCGGAGAGGGTATAGTGCACAGCACGAACTTTTTAATTTAGTTAATAAGTGGCAAGAATGCTCGGATAAAGGAGGGATACTTGGCGCTATGATTATGGATTTATCAAAGGCATACGATTTAATTCCACATAATTTGCTTATAGCTAAGTTAGAAGGTTATGAGTTTTCTCACGATACTCTCAAACTCTTATTATCTTACCTTTCTGCTCGCAAACAGAGGGTAAGACTATGATTGTCATTTTCTGAATATTTAGATATGGAATCTGGTGTACCTCAAGGTTCAATTTTGGGACCAATTTTCTTTAATATTTTTATCAACGATCTTTTCTTATTTACAAAAGACTCTGAAATCTGCAACTATGACAACACTCTTTCTGTTTATGACAAAAACCTAGAGAGTATTATTGCTCGTCTTCAAATAGAAACATCAACCCCGATTTCATGGTTTACTTTAAATAAAATGGTTACAAATCCCGACAAATTTCAGTTTTTTTATCTGCCTTGAAAAATTGTAAAGATCAATTTTTAATGGTTGGAAATGTAAAAATTATGGTTTCCTCTAAAGTTAAACTTTTCGAGGTTACAATTGATAAGGGTTTGAAATTTGATGATCATATTAAAAGTTTGTGTGGAAAAGCGAATGGTAAATGCTGCGTTCTTGCACGAATAATGACTTCTTATCAGTAAAACAAGCTACTGTTTTATTCAATGCTTTTATACTGTCAAATTTTTTCCTATTGTCCTTTGATTTGGATGTTTTGTTCGAAATATAATAATGACCTAATTAATAAAATTCATCAAAAAGGACTCTGCATTGTCTATAAAAGATTTGATCTCCCATTAGAAGTAATTCAAAAAATAGAAATACTCCAAGTATTCACCTTAGAAATTTAAGGTTTTTGTTAACAGAAGTTTTTAAATCTATAAATGGTTTAAATCCAGATTTTATGTTAGATCTTTTTATCGTTATATATATATATATATATATATATATATATATATATATATATATATATATATATATATATATATATATATATATATATATATATATATATATATATATATATGTATATATATATGTATATATATATATATAAGTATATATATATATAAATATATATATATATATATATATATATATATATATATATATATATATATATATATATATATATATATATATATATATATATATATATATATATATGTATATATATATATATATATATATATATATATATATATATATATATATATATATATATATATATATATATATATATATATATAGGCGCGGATCCAGGAATTTGTAACTGTGTGGCCAAGTCCGGGTTCGCGGACGGCGCGAACAGCTAATTTTTTTATTTTTATTGAGTGATTAGGGGGGAGGGGGAAGTGCTATAAACGATTTTTTCTATGGGAAGGACCAATGAAGTAATCCCACGGACTCATTATGTATCATTTTTTTAAACTTTAATACGTAGAGAGACTAACCTACTTTACTTAACTACTCCAGATTTAATAATCTGAGAGCGCCATTATTACAATAAGTATAATAATTTTCACGCTTCAGGCTAAAAACTTTAAGCGACGAATTTTTATATAAGAAATCAATTAATAAAATTAATAAGAGATCATTCATATTATATACATAGACTTACAAAAGTTCTATCATATTTTAATCTTATTCAATAGAAATAGCTTTCTGTTTGAATAAAAAAAAAAAACTTAATTTTGATATTTCTCGTTAGAAATAAACTCTCTAAACAATTGTGTACTTCGTGTTTGTTTGACAATATTATGTTAATGCAAAGTTATTCTAAACAATCGAGTCAATCGTGTTAAAGTTTATTTTGTATTGTTTTTAGTTATCCATTTAATAATAAAGTTATTCAAAATATTGCCTTGGCTATTTAGTTCATAAATTAGACATAGTACTTGTCTAAATCACTTAACGAAGTGCACCAACGAGAAGGTAAGCCATAGGACTTTACACTCCATCAGTAAACTGTCGTGTTGCCTAAGGTTAGCCCACTATTTCTGGATTTTTTTTTTTTTTTGATAGGCAGTTATGTACAAATATTCTTAAAACGTTTAAAAAAATTTTTTTTTAATAAATTTTAATTAATAAATAAACAAGACAAAATGTAATACAACAAATAAAGCAATAATAAAAAAAGTAACAACCTAAATCACATAAAAACACTTTCAACATTAGGATTTAAAAGAAATAGCAAATGAAGTATGAGTTTCACAGTTTATATAAAACAATGAATAGTAATAATTTGCTAATAAAAAATGATTTTTACAATTTACATAATTTAAAAGAAAATTTTAAATTATTTGTTTAAAACAATGAGTATAAATAATTTGCTATTGAGAAATTAATTACATTTACGAGATACTTTTAAAACAGTAATTAAATTTTTTGCTCAGAAATTCAAAATTTTTATTTGAATAAAAACTTTAATTTTTTGTCTCCTTTGGATGCAAATGTTTCAATAACATTAAATAGACATTAAAGTAAGTCCATTCAATCTATTTTCTGACATGGTACTCTCGTGTAAGTTTTTATTCTCCTAAGAGTAGATATTGACCTTTCACACTAACAAGTTGTGATTGGTATTGTAGCAAGTATATGAAATGCCTCTAAAATGTTTGAAAAGCCTCTCATATCCCTAAACTTAAATGTATGTTTATTTATATATATATATATGGAAAATATTATTGTTAAATATATATATATATATATATATATATATATAATATATATATATATATATATATATATATATATATATATATATATATATATATATATATATATATATATATATGGAAAATATTATTGTTAAATATATTTATTCATTTGTGTTTTTAATATTAAGTTCAATTATTACAATTTTTTTAAGAACTTAACAGTTTAACTATGCTAAATAAATAGTTATATAATTACTAATGCCTTTTAATGTTCAAAGCTGTAGTTATTTACGTTAAATTGTTAAAGACTTTGAATGTTTTTTTGTGAGTTTTTTAGTTTTGTTTAGACGTTATATTTTAAAATTTAGATTCTCTTTTTTATTGCCGCATCTATTGGTTGTGTTTTTGCTGGAATTTTAATTGATTTAATTGGTAGAAAATCAACTATTCTAGTGAACTCATTCATCTATCTTTTGGGTTATATATTGGTTATAAGAGGTTTTCAAGATAAACCGCAGTTTTTAGAATTGGCAACTACGTTTAGTTGTATTTTTTGTGGTTTTGGAGCTGGAATTACCTCACTTGTAGTACCTGTAAGTTTTTTAATTTTGAAATGTAATACCTTTATTTTGATTCTGCTAAATCATAATATCTTAGAGTAACAAAATGTAGCAAAAATATTTGCTAAAAAATACAATCTTTTTGGTACTAAAAAGTAGAAATTGAACTTTTTAATTTAAGTTTAACATTTCAGTAAATTAAAGATTAACAGGTCTGCGTAAGGTTTATATAGAATCATACCTGACAATCTTTAGTTTACTGAACTATTAAGTTTTAATTAAATGTTTATTTTCTACTTTTTAGTATAAAAAATATTATAGTTTTCGCTATATTTTATTTTTACAGCTATATTTTATTTTTACTATATTTTATTTTTACATTTTAAAAATATTATAGTTTTCGCTATATTTCATATTTACAGGGAGATTCGATATTTAGCAATGCTCGATTTAATTACAATTGTCAAAACATGAAATTGAGCTTTTTTCTTTGTTAAAGAAACACCCAGTAATGAAAATGAACGTTTTAATATTGTCTAAGTTAAAAGAATTGTCTGGACTAAATTTTAAAGCTAAAGGATAACCTTTCGCTTTAAACTTGAAAACTAGCATAAGTATGAATTGGCATAAGTGCGCCAAACAAGTTTACAAACATTGCATGAGTACGAAATGGCATAAAAGTGAACTTGAATAAGTACAAAACAGTTACAAAAACTGGCAGAAGTGCAAACTGACATAGGTGCGCGGAATAAATCTGCAAACATTGGCATAAGTACAAACTGGCATTTTGCACTTATGCTAGTTTGCACTTATGTCAGTTTGCACTTATGCCATTGTTTGAAAATATATTTGGCACACTATACCAATTTGCATTTATGTCGATTCGCACTATTGCCAGTTTTTTGCAATTGCTTGGTACTTATACCAGTTTGCAATTATGACATTTCACACTTATGTCAATGTTTGTAAATCTATTCAGCGCACTTATGCCGATTCGCACATATGCAGTTTGCACTTATGCCAGTTTCTGTAACTGTTTCAATAACTGCTCCGTACTTATGCCAATTCACACTTATGTCAATGTTTTCAAATTTGTTCAACGCACTCATGCCAATTCGCATTTATGCCAGTTCACACTTATGCCAGTTTGCACTTATGCCAATGTTTGCAAATTCTTTTTGCTCACTTATGCCCATTTGCACATATGCTATTTGGTATGGTGCCATTTTTTGTGACTCCTTCGCACTTGTGCTAGTTTGCACGTATGCGAATTTGCACTTACGCTAGTTTGCACTTATGAAAATCACGCTTATTTAGTCGTCCCATTATGGTGAAACGGCTTAGTTAGAGCCATGCATGGGATTTGTATCATGGGTTGTAAAATGGAAGTGGTATCATTATAAACTTAAATAGAGTATTTATGGGAATGGATTTTTAATTTACTAACCTCTTCACCATAGTTATCACAAGTTTTTGACAATTCTTACCACCAAAATTTTGAAATCTTTGTTTCTAATAGAAAGAAATAATGGAAAAACGCACAATTCCTAATAAAGTAGTAAAAATTATACATAGTAAAAAAAATTTTACATAGCAAAAGAAAAAATCTGTTAAACCAGTATTTAGCAAATTACGACTGCAGAGTTACAACAGAGTTACTAAATGAAACATTATCAAGTGTTGAATCAAACTTATCAAATTCTATTAGGCTGTTCATTTCAGTTACTACTTCTTCTTCACGCTTATAATTTTTCTGCATGCCTGGGTTTTTATATCATTTAAGAGAAGCAACACACAATATTGAAAGTCTAAACAAATTTACGGTAATTAAATTTTAAATAGTCTTAACAAAACTACGTAAATAAATAAATTTAAAATACATAAATTTAATAATTTAAAAACTTTCCTAGTCTAACACTAAACCAGAGTAAAACTAATAGCTAGTGTAATACTTCATTGTGGCAATTCTAATATTTGGTATAGCCACAATAAATTAATTTACCTTATATTAGAGTTTTTCTCAGATTTAGGGTAAGACAAAATAGATCGTTCCATAGATTTATAGTTTTAATAATATAGAAATACTTGATTTCACGCAGGTGATTATTTAAAGTTACAATTGGAACCTCATCGTTTCAATGATAAAAATTACAAAGATTTATGTAAACTCATATGCAAATATTTGAGCCTATATTGAAAGTTATGGTTGCATTTTACAACAAACATTAAATTATTTTTTTTGACTTACTTGCTTGAGATAATAGAAATCCATTATATTTTATTTTGAGTTATTTCTTTTTTTTTTTGAAGTTGATGAAAATTGATGTGTACCCAAAATGCATCTCTCGGGCATCACAATCAATATCATCTTTATTTATTATTTTTTGACCTAAAGAACACAAGCCTAGAGAATGTATGAACTTCATCTAACAACTTGTTTTCTGATGAAGCAAGTTTACAATTTAAATTTTTTAACAAATTTCTTCACAGGTTATTAATTTTTAAAGAAAAATAGAGTGTATTATAAGGTATACAATTTTATAGGTTTTATACTGCCATATATTTGGTAATACCACCAGATTATCAATAAAGATTAAAAATCTTAAATGACATTTTTTAATTAAGTCACTTACTTACTTGAAACAAATCATCATATTTGTTTTTTTTAGCCTTTTTAATCATAGTAATTCCTTTATTAAAACCACTGATATTATAATTTTTTATTTTTAGATTTAAAGAAGACTCTGAGAATGTTGTTACCTTTTCTCAAATCCAAATAATTTTTTTTTGCTTTAAAAGCTGTTGATAATCAAGCAGAATTAAAACCTTAATCTAGTTTCTTAAGTCAATCAAGTTAACATAACAATTAAGTTATTTAACAAACTAAAATAATCTTTTGAACCACACCATAAAAACTTTATTAGTCATATCTACTTGATTCAAGTAAAAATACAACCACAAGCTAGTTTCAACAAAGGCAAACAACTTAAAAGTAAAAATACTCTCATATTTTTCAAATTTTATTCTACAAGAAAATAATACTAACACTTTTTTGACTTAAAGATATGTTAGTTTTTATAATTTTTATTTAAATAAATTAATTCGCCTTAACGAAGGTCACGCATAAACATAACTTACTGTTTTAGATATTGCCATGCTGTAAGTTTAAAAAACTTTTTTTATTACGTTAAAAAAACGTTTTATAAACATTTTTAACGTTTATTTAATCGCTGTTAAAACGTTTTAAAATATGCTAACTGAGAAGTTCCGTATGTTATTAAAAAAAGAAAATCGCCTAAAAAATGTTAAAAAAAACGTTTAAATTTACAAAAAAAAAAACGTATACAAACAATTGTATTAGTTTTTTTAACGTCCGACCGTAAATTGAACGGATTTAAAACGATTTAAAAACGTCCTGTGCCTACTGGGCAGAGTATTTCCTGATTAAAGGATCCGAATTTTTTTTGTTTAACGATAAAAAAATTTATATAAAAATACAATAACATAAAGTACAAATATTTCATTTGCATTGCCACCCTCGTCCTCCGACATATGTAGTAAATTTTATATTAATTTTAAACAAAATTATATTTTAAGTTATTTTTTCAATTTTATTTAAAAAAAAAAAAAAATTTAAACGTATTAAATAAGGGTTTTTAAAAAAATACAAACCCACAAGCAATCTTAGCTGATTTTAAAAATGAAAAGTTGAGTTTTGAAAATAGAACAAGTTATATTATTAAAAAAAAAGATTACAAACCCACAAGCAATATAAGCCAATTTTAAAAATGAAAAGGTGAATTTATAAAATAGAACAAGTTATATCATTTAAAAAAGATTACAAATCCACAAACAATATAACCCTATTTTAAAAATCAAAAAATTTGTTACTGAATAAAGATTACTTTTAAAAACAAAATTGCAAGCAATATAGTAACTAATTTCTATATAAAAGGTTAGTTTTTTTATGTACCAAGGACGACAAAGAAAGTTGAGGAAGAGTTTATATCAAGTGAACTTTTTAAGTCTTTGTCGGTTCGACTAACAGCACTATTGTACCTTCTAACGTCGTCTCCAATTCCTATCCGCTTTCTCTATGCTATCTTTCTAACAGGACTTCTTCTGTACAGAAGAACAAAGGTACAAAGGTATATTAAATTTTGTATATTAAATTATATGGTATATTAAATTCTGTACAAAGGTATATTAAATTGAAAGACAGCTGTCTTTCAATTTAATATACCTTTGCTCTTCCCAAACTCACATTGCACTTAGTCCGTAGAGCAGGTGATAACGCTCCTTCGGCAGCTGACCTTATTTTTGTAGGCCTTGGCAATGTGGCCTCCACAAGGCAATTAGCTGGTGGAAGATAGACCACAATACCATCAAGTAAAGAAAAGATTATAAAAAAGATGATAAAATTTTACTATGAAAACAAACTGAAAATAGATATTATTTCAATAAATAACATATTCCAGTTCTTTTGATGTCGGTCTTTTCTAATAAGTATTTTCTAAATGTAATTTAAAATATTTGATTGTATTTTTTATAGTATTATTAAAAAGTGTTTTATATAAGAGATACCATCATTATTAATTTAGTGTGACTTTGACTGGATAAAGCAACTTTCATGTAATCTCTGGGTGATGTCTTATTTTTGATTTTTCAAAGAAATTTATAGTATCATTTATTATTGAAAAAAATGAAAATATATATTATTCTATATGGTTTGTAAAGAACTAGAAAAAATTTTAAACTTAATTATATTAAATAATTAATCTTAACTAACAACTTACCGTGTTCTTATATATTATATATCTTATATCATACGCACACACGCAAAGTAATTAGTAGATGTGTTTTTTTTTTACTATTTAAAAATTCTTGGAAATTTATATGTTTACTTGGTTAAAAAAATGGTTTAAAAAACTGAAAAAGTAGAAAAGTTACAAGAAGAAATCATCAAAGAACTTCAAAAGAAAAATAAAATTTTGGAAATTTAATTAAGTTTAATTGAAGTTGAAAACAATCTA